ATCTTTACTAAGCAGCCTTTATGTGCTGGGTACTGTCTAAGGGTTGTTGTTGACTAGCAAAACAAGTTTTATTTGTGTTTGTCTTTCAGAGAGCCATCAGAATGTTTTAAACAAGCCACAACAGAGGGAGGGCAAGCATAAGAAACTGCTTATCTCAGACAGCAGGAGAGACACAGGGCTTTTTATAGCTCTCAGAAACAAAGGGCCCAAAGAAAGCAAAACCTCAAGGGCTTACCACTAATTCATTGGCATGAGCAGATGCACTTTACGGGCTATCATTAATTCTTACTCTAGGTATTGTCTTAGCACTTTACGTAATTATCTAAAACACTATTTCACAAACTCCAGCACTAACTCAAGCCTAAGGAATCTGAGGGTGTGTTCCAAACAGACAAGTTACAAGGCACATTGAGAGTAGTCTATTCCTCACTCCGGTGCAGGATCTAAGAAGAAGAAAAGGCTGCCAGGAGCAAACTGCAGTCTGATTTGGGACTTGGTCTTAGTAGGAGACATGCGGGGAGTGGCATTTCTGAATGGAACAGCTGGTTCCCTTACTGAAAAGGAAATTAACATTTCTGCTGTGATATTGCCTTTCTTTAAAAGGTTAAATTTGGGACTGGAGGAGTGGTTCAAGTGGTAGAGGACCTGTCTAGCAATCACAAAGCCCTAAGTTCAAACCCCAGTACCACTAAAATAAATAAAAGGTAGAATTTTGTGTTCAAAGATGCAGTAATGAACATATGTACGTAAGACAGCATAATGAAACCCACCAAACCCTGTTTAAAAAGGAAGGGAGAGCTGGGCACCAGTGGCTCACACCTATAATCCTAGCTATTCAGGAGGCAGAGATTAGGAGGATCACGGTTCAAAGCCAACCCAGGCAAATAGTTCTCAAGACCCTATCTCAAAAAAAAAAATCATAAAAAAGGGCTGGCAGAGTGGCTTAAGCAGTAAGAGTGCCTGCCTAGCAAGTGTGAGGCCCTGAGTTCAAAACCCAGTACCATATAATAATCAATAAATATAAAGGGAGGGAGGAAGGAGAGGGGCAATGGAAATATAATGGAGGGGGTAAACTTGTTACAAGTTTCACTGTATGCATGTATGGAATTATCAAATCAAATCCCTTTTATTATGAATGCATGCTACTTCAGAAAATAAAATAGAAATATCTTTTAAAAGACACAGCAGTGAATAGGAAAAATGTGGTTTCTACTGTCAGGAAGGTTTTTTTAGCCAGCTGGCAAAACCCAAGAAATTTTTTTACCTTAATTATTTTAGACCTTGCTATGGTTTGAATACAAGTCTATACTGCCTGTCAAAACCCATGCAGGAATTCAACACTCAAAGTCATATGTCAGTGTGGTCAAGAGAGTGGAAACTCAATCCAACTAGTTTTTAGAGGTGGGAGTCTTTGGAAAGTGATTAGATTTAAATAAGTTCATTAGGTTAGCACCTCTGTGATTGAATCCTGTTACCTTTATGAGCGGGACAGAGACCAGACATACAGACATAGACACATTCTCTGTCTCCTGACAAATGATGCCCTGTGCCATCTTGCCAATCAGAAGTCCATCCCTAGAGGCTAAACTAATAGGACCCACCCAATCTTGGACTTTGAACCTACAAAATCATGAGCCAAAATAAACCTGTTTTCTTTATAATATGACCCAGTCTCAGGTTATTCCTTCTACCAATGCAAAGCTGACTAAAACAGGCCTCAATTTCATTATCTGTCAAGTGGAGGCTTTGCTCATGGAGCTTCTCAAGGGTCCCTGATCAGAGGTATTATGTGTGAAGACAACAGCACAGATTCTTTAAAATAGCTCCTGCACCAGGAATAAGGGGTTCCTACATCACGTCTTCCAACATCTCATGGCTGAACAACTCGTGAACATGTTAACCACCTCAGGGGTTGTTTAGTGACCCAGGACTATGTCTCTGGGTAAGGGTCCTTCCATAACATCAGCTTTAAAAGTGACAGATGAATCAATTTGCAAAAGAAGTGTTTAAAAGACAAGGCTACAGTTGGTGAGCACACTTTGCAACTGGCACTCCCATCCCCTGCCAGCAGGTGTGCAAATTGGCATGCCTTCTCTTTAAATTAATGTGGCAATACAAATCAAGAACCTTAAAACCTCTAATTACACTTGCAGGAATCTAGCCTAAGAGAATAACCCGAAATATTTGTAAAGGCGTTCTACAGGAAAATGTTCAGTGCTGTGATATTTTCTATGGCAACAGCCACCAACAGTGGAAACGGCATTTAAAATGTGTAATACTTTTAATAACACAGGAAAGCATTTCTCTTATAATAGTAATGAAAATTGAGGCCTAGAGTAGCTCAGTCATAAAGCCTTTGCCTGGCATGTGTAAGGCCCCAGGTTCAATGCCCAGTACTTCAAACAAATGTTTCTGAATGCAAAATGTACAGACATTCAGTGTAATCATAGTTGTAATTGTAATGTACATAGCATATAAATACATAGTGCACATTTATTTATATACATATATATATATATATAATAAAAAAATTGTTACCAGTGGTTGGCTTTGGATATTGGGATATAGAGCTCAGATTGAGTCATAGGTTCACCCTATAATCTGGAGGACAGGGTTGGTGATGATAAAAAGGGAGGCATGTTTGCTAAACGGCTAACAATGGTTACCCATTATAAAGTAATGAATCAGGCTTGGGAACCTTGAAGGATGAATTTGATTTTACCATGTGAAGCAGGAAACTTGGATTAAGGTAGCAGGCTAAATTGTGATTTATCTTCACTTGCTAAACACTACTAAAGTTACTGTTCATGAATAAAATCCATTTGACAAAAATCACAAAGGTGATTTATACAAGCAAAATGTTGAAATCTGGAAAACACAGCGTAAACTCACTGCTTGCCAGGCAGAGCCCAAAAATCAAGCAGCTCACACATGAGAACTGTGGAAAGTCACTGGACAGAAGATACAAGCACCTCTGAAAGTGGGGTGTAGAAACAAGCTGGGTTAGAGGTCTGTATCAATACAAGGAGGCTTCATAGCTCCTCCCTTCCTGCCTGCCTTATACCAGCCTCTATTCCTTTAGCCCAGGAGAAACTGGAGACTTACTGTTGAGGATATACCCAAGGGACTCTGAACCAGAGACACCAAGCCGGGCCAAGAATGAGGGTAATACACTGAAATCATCAGTTAGCAAATTACTGAGACTGACACCTGTCCCCACATGCCTTGCTTTTGCTAACAGTTTTCAGTCAGGAAATTATATGGATCCTGTCTGAAGAAGACCCCGCACAAGAGAGAAGTCCTCTAATGACATTTGGAGTCCTCCAATGAAACACTGGTTCCCCACCAGATTATTCCATAGTGAGACCTGCCAGGGGACAAGCCCCTCTGCTGAATGTACACATACATGCAGTCCAATCGGTTTCTTTGTGACTTGCTTTTAAATATAAATGACTTCCAAGGACAAGCAGACATTTGAGGAGAGCCTCTAGCATGAAAGATGGAGACAAGGCGAACAGGAATACAGGGACTCAGAAGAAACTGAGACAATGACGGAAATTGTCAGAGCTATGGAGAATAGACTTAAAGTGATAAAAAGAAAAGGAGACTATTGATGAAATATCCAGAGCTATGGAATGTTAAAAAATATAGTAGATTTTTGTTGGTGGTGGTTTTCTTGATAATTCTGACTGGGGTAAAATGGAATCACAACGTAGTTTTGATTTGCAAAAAAGGCTGGCGGAGTGGCTCAAGTGGTAGTGTCCCTGCCTAGCAAGCATGAGGCCCTGAGTTCAAGCCCCAGTAACACCAAAAATAAATAAATAAAAATAATAATGAGGCAAATACCAAAAAGAAACAGCTTAAGTTGAAAGTTGGAAGTGAAAAAAAAAAAAAAAAAGAAAGTTGAAGATGAGAAAGGAGTAGGTTCCAGCTTGGGAATGACTCTTTTTCACCAATAGCAACAACAAAAAAAGCATGATATTATACATACATAACTTTGTGAAGTTTTTTAAAACTTAAATTTTTAAAATTTGGAAAGCATCCAGGAAGAAGGAACAGTGACTGAGAGGTGTGAACTATGCAACTAGTCAGGAAGCAGGGTTGACTGACAGGCACAGGCCAGGTAAGTGTTGAGTACTAGAGGAAAAGGAAGCCATCATAGGCTATCAAGCAAGGGAGTCCCGATCACAGCTTTGATCCTGACCTTGACCACATTCTTATCAGAAAAGTCACTGAGTGGAAATTGGGAGTGGGAGAGATGGATAACAAGAGGCTTTGGGGAGTGGACTGTTCCCAGTTCCTGGGAGAGAGGGAGAAGCTCTGAAAATGGTGGTGGTCATGAGGATGGAGAAGAGAGCAAGGGTCGTGGATATTTCCTGGAGAATCACCAGCATTCAGTTAATAGCTGAGGACAATGAGAAGGAGGAAGGAGCTGATGGGGTGAAGAGGAAGGGCAGACTGGGAAAAGGGAGATTTCAATTCTGGCCATGGCCTCCATCCCTAAGGCTCTCCCTTCCACCCTCAAACACCAAGGATGTTGTGTGCAAATGTGGGGAGGCAAAGGATGAAGTTCAGAGATCAAGCTTTGGAGTCTTTGGGATAAAAGGTAGAAATATGGGTGTTAACAGAAAGCTATGGACTAGATAGGCCTGAGTTGGAACATCAAATGCTACTTCCTGTCTGCATGCTATTATACAAGTTAGTTAACCTCCCTGAATCCCAGGGGTTCTCAACCCCAAAATGGGTCTAACCACACCTGCTTTGCAGGGTCAATACAGGAGGACAGCAGAACAACCTCTATGGAAGACATTAAACAGTGGATGTCCACACATGTGAACACCTTCCCCTCCTGTGCCCCCACCACCTCCTGATAGCAAAGACAGCTTCTGGAGGACCCTGCAAGCTCTTCTGAGACATGTTCTCTTTCCTTTGTCCCCAAAGGGTTTCTGGGAGACACCTTCATCTCCCCTCCCAGAGTTCAAACATGGAGACCACACAGGTTTGCATCAAACAGAAAGTCAGCTTTATTAGCCCACCACCAGCAGAGGGGAGGGAAGATAGCTGGGGCCGCGCTGGGAGATCAGTGTGCTGGCCCAGGCCTCCAGAAAGTGAGGCCAGCAGGGGCAGGACGCTCTGGAGGAGGCGGATCAGTTCCTGGAGCCCTAGATCTGACTCTGGCTTTGGCTGAAGCTGGATGAGCCCTGCTCCTTGAGGATGGGACGAGGCTGGCGAGAGGATGAGGAAGAGGACGAAGAGAAGACTGCAGGAGAGAGGATAAGAGGTGAAAAGGGTTCTGGGAGCTGAACAGACCGCTTGGCAGGGGAAGGGAGTCCCAGGGGCTCTGGAGAGAAGAGTGTGACCCTCCCTTCAAGGAAATGGGCTGCAAGGTGCAGTCTCAGAACCCCAGAACCTTTACCTTCGCGGGAAGAATAGGATTGGCCAGAGGAGTGCTGAGAGGAGGAGATGCTGTTGGGGAGAAAGGACACCATTAGATTCTAGGAACAATGGGGACCTGTGAGAGGCTGTGAGGCAGAAATAGGGGCCCCACTCACTGGGCGTCCTCGCCCTCCAGCAGGCGGCGGTAGGTGGCGATCTCCTGCTCCAGCCGGGTCTTCACATCCAGCAGGATCTTGTACTCCTGGCTCTGCTGCTCCATCTCACAGCGCAGCTGTGCCAGCTGCTCCTCCACACTGCCAATCAGCCCCTGGATCTGGGACAGCTGCATGCAGTAGCGGCCTTTGGTCTCCTCCAGGCTGTTCTCCAGGGATGCTTTCTGTTTGTGGAGGAGAGAGGGGAAAAGTCAATGGAGGTGATCACTTCTGTCTCTCCAGGTCTCTGGGAATATTTCCTGAGAGATGCATTGATTTGGACTCCAGTTAGGGTCATACAACATGGAGAAAAATTATTCCACCATTCTGGGCCTTCATTTTTCCATCTCTGTAATGGGTACCAGGATCCCTCCAGTGAAATTGGACTGTGGCAGTGTTGAGGGGTGGTGGCCATTGCTGGTGACCTGGGGGCTGCAACAGGACGATATTCTTCATACCATGCTGAGCTGGGACTGCAGCTCAATTTCCAGGCCTTGGAACACTCTGCGGAGCTCAGTCACTTCGCTGCGGCCACTCTGTATCAGTTCACTGTTAGAAGCCACTTCTTTGTTCAGTTCCTCGGTCTGAGACAGGAGAGAGGAACAGAAGATGTGAGGTTCTCCAGAGCCTCCCCAGCTGAGAATCTTGCTGGACTGTGGAGGACCCAAGCCCCACCTTGCTTATGAACCAGGCCTCAGCATCTCTGCGGTTCTTCTCTGCCATCTGTTCATATTGGTCACGCATCTCATTCAAGATTCGGCTCAGGTCCACACCAGGGGCGGCGTCCATCTCCACACTGACATCCCCACCAGTCTGACCCCTCAGGGCAAGCATCTCCTAGAAAAGAGTAGAAAAAGGGGTCAGATCAACTGGTCCCTTTCCTGGCCCTAGGTGAGTCTAGCAACCCCATCAAACCAGCCTCCCATCCCCAAAGCCAGCAGCGACCTTACCTCCTCGTGGTTCTTCTTCAGGTAGGCCAGCTCCTCCTTGAGGCTTTCAATCTGCATCTCCAGGTCAGCTCTGGCCAAGGTCAGCTCATCCAGCACCCTTCGTAGACCGTTGACATCGGCCTCCACGGTCTGGCGCAGAGCCAGCTCATGCTCGTACCTGGCAGGACAGAGGTGAAAGTCTCAAGTGTCATCCTTGAAGCTTCCAAGAATTAAGGTCTTCTGCCCCACCCCCACTGGATGGACAATCTGACTCTTTTGTCGCCTGCCCTCTGCCCCTAGACCAGCATGGTGGCTGCTTACTTGGTCCTGAAGTCATCAGCTGCCAGCCTGGCATTGTCAATTTGCAGAATGGGCCGAGCGTTCTCAATAGTGGCTGCAATGATCTGGAATAGGGATGAAAGGACCAGAGGTCTGATCAGCCAAGGACCCCACTGCTCCAGGGAGAAGGACAGAGAGGGCAAAAGGAGCCCCCTAAACCTGAGGTCTCCCAGCTGTCAAGATGCCTTCTCCACCCAGCTCTGGGTGTGTAGGGATGCACCTGCTTCTCCCACTGCCCTCATCCTGTGCCCAACACTCAGAAGATAAGCGTGCAGGGCAAAGATCCCTTGCAAGGATGAGGGATTCAGTGCTTCCATCCCACTTAAATAGAGATGCTGAAAAGGAACCCACTCCCACCACTTCTCTGGGGGACCCTGGCCACTGCTCCCAAAGCACTTCAGTTTCCCTGTTTGTAAAATGGAAATGCCACAAAGAGGTTTCCTTGCGTCCACTGCATCCCCAGCCTCTCCCAACACTCTGTCCAGCAGAGTCACCCACCTTGCTCTTCAGCTCCTCAATGGTCCTGAAGTAGGGACTGTAGTCTTTGAGCTCATTGGGCCGCTGCCTCTGGTACCAGTCTCGGATCTTCACCTCCAGGTCGGTGTTGGCCTCCTCCAGGGCACGCACCTTGTCCAGATAGGAGGCCAGGCGGTCATTGAGGTTCTGCATGGTCACCTTCTCATTGCCAGAAAGGAGGCCACCATCACCAACACCAAAACCAGCACCAAAGCCACCACTGAAGCCACCACCAAAGCCACCACCATATCCTCCACCAAAACCACCTCCTAGGGCCCCTCCAAAGCTGCTGCTGCTGCTGAAGCCACCACCATAGCCGCCCCCCATTCCACAGGCACCCCCAGAGGAGAAGCGAGAGGAGGTGACCGACAGGCCCCCATAGGTGCTGGGGGCCCGGCAGGATCCTCCGGCTAGGACAGAGGAGATGCGGCTGGAGCCACCACCAATGCCACAGGAGCCCTTCATGGAGCTGGAGGAAGTGAACTGGCGGCTGCAGGTGGTCATGGTGCTGAGGAGGGAGGTGAGTGACTGAGGAGTCGGCAGAGAGAAGAGAAAGGTGCTCAGAGAGGCTGAGAGAGGATGCTGTGGCTCTCTCAAACCTGAGATCCTTTATATGCACCCAGGGAAGGCGTGGCCCACCAACTGCTGACTCCAGGTTCCCCTCTGGATTTCGTCACTCCGTCCAGTCCAACTCCTCACTCTGGATTATTCAACCCAGGGTGGACTCACTTCTCTGTGTGCCATCTCAGAGTTCCCACCCAGCTCTGGGGGTGTGGGCCAAGAGAAAATACACAAACTGGAGTCTGGTGACTCAGGCTGGGTGGCCAGGAATCGGCTCTCATTCCTGGAGCCTGAGGGGACAGCGGGGCCTTGGCGCAGCAGGCTTTGTGGCAGCTGCGTCCCCAGGCAGTGACTCAGCTTGTCAAAGGGACTCCCTGCCCCATGGTGAGAACCTTGACTGAAGGAGGCCTCAGTGATGCCATCCAGGGCTGTGGAGGTTGTACATGCCATGCTCTGGACAGGAGCTGATTTTATGCTTTGCTTGCTGTATGACATGAAGTCCCTCACCAACCCTCTCTGTGCTTCCCTCAATAGTGACAAGTCCAACTGAGTAATTAATTAGTCCTTTCTAGTTCTAAAAATCAAATGCTTCTCTCTCCTTGTTGAATCTAATCCAGATTCAGAGGCTGCTTTTAGCCTCCAAGATGTCCAGTAGTGGTGTGTACCATGGAAACAGCACACACAGTGGAGCCGTATCCTGCTCTACCCCGCAAGGCTGCACCAAACAGGAAGGTCCTGTGATAACTTCTCCCCGCCTTGGCCTCAGTTTTCTTATCTGTACAAGGGGAGGACACACTACCAGCCACATAGACCCACAAATGGAGGAGCCCACTTCCCTGCTCCCATCCTTTCTTTCCAGCCCAGCTGCCCCTCACACCCACCTCTATACTCTGGTACCCGTACACAGGACCCTGCACTCCTGCACTTCCCCCATGATGTGCACCCCACCCCCAGTGTCTGGTTCCTCCACTCCACCTGCTGACCTCATCTGATCAGGATGCCCACCTGTAGACTGTTGTGGGAGGGAGTCCCCGTCTTGCTACTAGTACTATACGTGACTCCTGGTCGTGCCATGGGCCTCAGAGTTCCCACATGGAAATGGTCCTGTTCCCAAACAACTTTTTCTCATGTCCACAGATTCCAGCTGGGCTTGGCAGCTTTGGTTTATTCACTTGGAGTGACCAGGAAAGCACTAAAGCTCTTTGGTCCCCTGCCAGGAACAGACATTGCACAGAGTGTCTGTCTGATATGTGCTTACTGCACAGTCCTGTGAGGTGAGCATGAAGTAGGTGTCATTCCTGCCACTAGTCCACTGATGAGGGAACAGGACAAGATAGGCAAGTGGGCTTCCCAACATACCAGTCCCTGCCTGCCCACTCCCCCAGACCCTTCTTCTCATATTTGCATCCTTTGCTTGATCTTTGAATTAAGTCTGCAAAGGAGGAGAACCAGAGAGAGGTGGTGATTTACGCAAAGTCACTCGACTTTCAGTTGCAAGCCACGACTCTTCCAACCTCCCATGATACTTGCAGGCAAGGGCCAGGTATGTCTGATTCTCACCCACCTCCCCACAGTGCCAGTGTAAACTCTGCCCACAGTGGGCATGGCCTTGGCCTGAAAGTCCAGCCCAGCATGACAGACAGAGAAGGATGGAGATCTGTCACAAAGACAAAGGCCTGCTTGAGTGCTGTGGGGTGACCCATGGCATTGGCCTCTGTCCTTGCCCTGTGGCACCTTTGTTGAGGTGAGAGGAACCCAGAGAGCCTTGACTATACCTGAGCTCTGCTGAAACTCTTTCTCAACATAACAGGGCTTTGGTACTTCCATATGTCATTCAGGCCTGTCAGCTACTCACCCAGCAGTATGAACAGAGCAGATGCCTGCACTTTCAGGGCTGGAATTGGGAGAGGAAACCTAGATAATCCCCACCCTTGACTCCTAATATGGGCAACGGGAACCACAATATCTGTAACAAAAAGCCCGGTCTCCTGGTAGCAGGATGGGCCTGGAGTTCAGGTCCACTCACAGATTCATCACCCTTAGGAATGGAAATGGCCTTCAAGGTCACCAAAGGCCAACAAGCCCCAACCAGAGATAGTGAAAAACTCTACTTGCCCAAGGTTAAACAGCATGGAGATGGACAAGTAGACATTCGAACGCAGCTCCAACTACCAAGGCAAGCTTCATTTCAACTCTCACCCTGGCATCTCTGGAAACTCTTCATCCTCTACCCCCAGGACACAAACACACACACACACACATACACACACACACTCGCCTCCATTCCAGGAGTTGGAGTGATCACACACAGGCCTAGCAGGGAAGGTCTGGACATCTTTGTGGGCTGAGAAGTTTCCCACAAACCCATCAAACTATTCAGCTACCTAGATCACGCACACACTATGCACCTAGCACTTGGAAGCTAGAGGAGGGGAGAGAGACAATGGCATGGTCTCCAACCTTGGAACTTATTTGACCCTGGAGAGAAAACTATGGCCAGGAAGACAGCACTTGTGGCAGAAAACCCTGGGGTGCTTCCTCCTACCGCACCCCTCTGCAGGAGGCTGCTGGAGATGTATTACCCCGCTGAGCCTCAGCTGTAAAGGAGAGGGCTACCTTCCTCACCCTAACCCTCTGAACAGTTCTGGCAGGGAAGACTGCAGCTGGGATTCAGAAGACCTAAGTTGGCAGAGGAAGGGGGACCACTTTCTCCAAGCCAGTGATGCACATCTGTCCCAAAGTTGTCAGGATCAGGACCAATAAGCCAAGGGGACACAGACCATAGACTCCTGCGTAGGGAGCTGCAATCCCTCCAGGCAATGAATCTCCCTCCTTCCTCCCTTCTTGGCCCCACCCCTTCCCAAGTATGAGGTCATGTCACACTTGAGCTGTCCAGGAGACATCATTGGCCAAAGACAGGCCTCAACTCACAGTGATTCCCAAACCTGGTGGATCATCAGAATCTCTGTGCAGACTCCCAGCCCTGTCCTCACCCCTACATCAGCATTGCCTGAGACAAGCCTGGTCTCGGGGCTGTTTTACAAGCTCCCTAGGGGATTCCCAGGCTGGGGAGGCAGGAGGCAGCCCAAGGAAGCTAAAAGGAGAGAAGGATGTTGCAGAGCCCCCAACCCCTGTTGGGCAGGCCAGAGACATAAGCTGCAGGGCAGCAGGAAGAAAGAACCCTGCTGAGCCAGGACAGAGCAGTCTGGAGCTTTATCCAAGCAGGCAGAGGCTTTGAGCAAGCCGTTCAGCCTCTCCAAGCCTCACCTCAGTTTTCATCTCTGGGAAATGGGAATAACAACATTACCTGGCATGTTAGACAAATAGAAGGGAAATGAATAAAGCACCTGTCAGACTGGTGGCCATCATTGCTTTTATTCAACAGAGGACTATAAAGCACACACCATATTCCAGGCATCCAGATTCAAAGAACAAGACAGAAAAGATCTCAAAGAGCACAGTCTGAGGAGAGAGGGTGGTAAAGACAGTCTCAGTACCATGTAGTCAGGTCCTGATGGAGTACAGAAATGTGAAGGGGGCAAGTTTCCAAGGGATAAACCATGTCCAGATCCAGGCCATCCCTGGCCTGGACCTGAGTCAGGAGGAATCTGAGCACCAGGAGCCCACAAATAATCCTCCTTTTCCCACATGATCGTACTCCCTTCTAAGGGCAGGGCTATCACTGTCCCTCACACTAGTCAACAAGGGGCCTTCAAGGCAGCCTGAGGTTCTGTCAAGCTCTGATACAGCCTCATTCCATGCCTGGGGACAGAATGACCCTGTCACTGATCCCTCTGTCCCCCTCGGCTTCCCAAGGGACCCACATTGCTGTGAGGGCTGGGAGAGTATTTTCAGGCCCACCACTGTACCCTCTTGCTACCCCTAGACTAGGGCTGGCACTGTGTCTCAGAGCCAAGGTGTGTATAACTTCCTTTTTCTAGACTCAGTGACAGAGCCATGCAATGTCATGGGCAGTATTTCCTACCACATCTGTCTCCCTACAGAAATGCTACCAGGTCAGTATGGTGGAGGAAGAGTCCCAAGGCTGCCTACAGCTGTTATATGTCTGGCCTGGGAACCAGGTATGTGCCCGTCATAAGACAGTGATGGTGAGACAGCTACAAGGGCAGCTTCTGCCAGGCTGACAGAGGTTGGGGATGTGGGTAGAGTGGGCATGAAGACTTCCATGGAGTCCCAACCCTGGGTCCCCAATCCAGGCTCAGATATATGTCCTTAATAGCCTGGGCCTGTTTGAGATGCCAGAACAAAGCCACCAAAGTTCCCCCACACCATCTCATGGGCTGTGCTCTCTGGCATCCCTGGGCGCTCTTCCATCTTAGCCACCACTGCTACCCACCCACTCACTTTGTGAGGAGGGGCTTCAACCCCAGCAGAGGGACACAGTCCAGGACTGTCTCCAAGCCTCCCTGCACCCTGACCCCTCCTCACGCCCCTTTCAGTAAGAGTGTGTCCCCAGAGTCCCAGAAGGGGTACAAGAGCCCTTCCTGCCTTAGAACTAACCAGGCAGGTTGTGGAACTGGTCACCTTTTCCCAGCACAGAGTGGGGTCCATTCTCCTCCCTGGCCCTGCTCCACCCTTGACATCCAGGCTCCAGGAGAAGAGCTGAGTCACTATTCCTCAGAGCCTCAGTGTCCCCATCCACACAATGGGGCGCCTCTCCCCAGACTGTCCTTGCTTCCCAGGACCATGGTTCAGATAAATGAGCTCGCCCTTCTCCGGGATGAGCCATCCCGGATACAGGGCTGGTTCTTCTGGTTGTGGCCAGTATGTGGCAGGTGATAGGGAAACATGACTCCCTCCTGCCTCCATCTGACCTAGCTTAACCATATTTGCTGCCAGGCAGCTGAGAGGTGCCAGCGCTGATGGAGCAGAGCTTGCCCAGCCTTGAGTGCAAGCCCCCAGGCTCCAGCCAACCCTGTGGAGAAGCTCACATCCTGGTATTAGCGGTTCCTCTCATCCCTCATTTTATACTGTGCCTTCCAAGATCCAGAAAGGGCCTGTGACCCAACCAAAATCCCCACAGCCCAGCTTTTGACATTGCCCCCACTTTCTCATCCCCAGT